TTCTCTGTGTTTTTTTTCTGGGGTGGGGGTGGGGGGCATTAAGGTTGATGTGCTTATTGATTGTGACCTGCGGATGCCCTGTTCATCTCGCCCGGGCAGAGACTAAGGTGTGAGCTTGTTTTTCCCAGTTATTTTTATTTTTTTAATTCTGTTCACGCCTACATAAAATTATCAATATTCATTTTTTATTTTAAAGCATTGTAACTTTTTATTTTTGGTCCAGTGGATCATTGGTCTGTGGCCTTGACTGTCTGTGAGTGGTTGCATTTCTCCACCCCATCCCTTAACTGTTTACAGGAACAATGGTGAGGTATTTGCTCTGTCCCTATACTATAGATTGCCCTTTAACCTTTTGTAGCCTTCTGCCTGGTGTGTTTAACTTGTCTAAAGTATGGTATCTTTAAATTTTTTTTTTTTCTTTTTTTTTTTTTTTTATATATATATTTTTTTATATGTATTATTTGTATTTTTGTCTAGTTGAGTATATTATTTATATTGCTTTGTCTTGTCTGTGTGTGTGTAAAACTTAATAAACAGAGTTCTCAAATGCACTCTAGCAAACTTCAGACGGGCCTGGACATGTACTGGCTTAAGCAGGGGGACACGTCTGGGACTGCAGGATTTGAGTCCCTGGCGGCGTAGTGTGTTACTGATGGTAGGCTTTGTTACTTTGATCCCAGCTCTCTGCAGGTCATTCACTAGGTCCCCCTGTGTGGTTTTAAGATTTTGGCTCACCGTTCTTGTGATCATTTTGACCCCACGGGGTGAGATCTTGCCTGGAGCCCCAGATCGAGGGAGATTATCAGTGGTCTTGTATGTCTTCCATTTCCTAATAATTGCTCCCACAGTTGATTTATTCAAACCAAGCTGCTTACCTATTGCAGATTCAGTCTTCCCAGCCTGGTGCAGGTCTACAATTTTGTTTCTGGTGTCCTTTGACAGCTCTTTGGTCTTGGCCATAGTGGAGTTTGGAGTGTGACTGTTTGAGGTTGTGGACAGGTGTCTTTTATACTGATAACAAGTTCAAACAGGTGCCATTAACACAGGTAACGAGTGGAGGACAGATGAGCCTCTTAAAGAAGAAGTTACAGGTCTGTGAGAGCCAGAAATCTTGCTTGTTTTTAGGTGACCAAATACTTATTTTCCACCATAATTTGCAAATAAATTCATAAAAAATCCTACAATGTGATTTTCTGGATTTTTTTTCCTCAATTTGTCTGTCATAGTTGACGTGTACCTATGATGAAAATTACAGGCCTCTCTCATCTTTTTAAGTGGGAGAACTTGCACAATTGGTGGCTGACTAAATACTTTTTTCCCCCACTGTACAGGGGGTACCGATACAGATTCAATGTGCGGGGGCACAGGTTAGTCGAGGTAATTTAGGTAATATGTACATGTGGGTAGAGTTAAAGTGACTATGCATAGATAATAAACAGAGAGTAGCAGCATGTAAAAGAGGGGCAATGCAAATAGTCCGGGTAGCTATGATTAAATGTTCAGGAGTCTTATGGCTTGGGAATAGAAGCTGTTAAGAAGCCTTTTGGACCTAGACTTGGCGCTCCGGTAGCCCTTGCCGTGCGGTAGCAGAGAGAACAGTCTATGATGGATGGAGTCTTTGACTATTTTTAGGGCCTTCCTCTGACACCGCCTGGTATAGAGGTCCTGGATGGCAGGAAGCTTGGCCCCAGTGATGTACTGGACCATACGCACTACCCTCTGTAGTGCCTTGCAGTTGCCATAGCAGGCAGTGATGCAACCAGTCAGGATGCCCTCGATGGCACAGCTGTATAACTTTTTGAGGATCTGAGGACCCATGCCAAATCTTTTCAGTCTCCTGAGGGGGACTAGGCTTTGTCGTGCCCTCTTCACAACTGTCTTGGTGATGTGGACACCAAGGAACATGAAGCTCTCAACCTGCTCCACTACAGCCCCGTCAATGACAATGGGGGCGTGCTCAGTCCTCTTTTTTTTCCTGTAGTCCACAATCATCTCCTTTGTCTTGATTACGTTAAGGGAGAGGTTGTTATCCTGGCACCACACGGTCAGGTCTCTGACCTCCTCCCTATAGGATGTCTTATCATTGTCGGTGATCAGGCCTACCACTGTTGTGTCTTCGGGAAACTTAATGATGGTGTTGGAGTCGGGCCTGGCCATGCAGTCATGGGTGAACAGAGAGTACAGGAGGGGACTGAGCACGCACCCCTGAGGGGCTCCCGTGTTGAGGATCAGGATCATGTGTTGTTACCTACCCTTACCACCTGGGTGCGGCACATCAGGAAGTCCAGATCCAGTTGCAGAGGGAGGTGTTTAGTCCCAGGGTCTAGGGTTTCTGGGATAATGGTGTTTATGTGAGCCATGACCTGCCTTTCAAAGCACTTCATGGCTACAGACGTGAGTGCTACGGGTCGGTAGTCATTTAGGCAGGTTATCTTAGTGTTCTTGGGCACAGGGACTATGGTGGTCTGCTTTAAACATGTTGGTATTACAGACTCAGTCAGGGACATGTTGAAAATGTCAGTGAAGACACTTGCCAGTTGGTCAGCGCATGCTCAGAGTCGGCATCCTCGTAAAAGTCTTACTCACATCGGCTATGGAGAGCGTGATCACATAGTCATCTGGAACAGCTGATGCTCTCATGCATGCTTCAGTGTTGCTTGCCTCGAAGCGAGCATAGAAGTGATTTAGCTTGTCTGGTAGGCTCTTGTCACTGGGCAGCTCGCGGCTTTGCTTCCCTTTTCAGTCTGTAATAGTTTGCCTGCCCTGCCACATCCGACGAGCGTCGGAGCCGGTGTAGTACGATTCAATCTCAGTCCTGTATTGACTCTTTGCCTGTTTGATGGTTCGTCTGAGGGCATAGCAGGATTTCTTATAAGTGTCCGGGTTAGAGTCCCGCTCCTTGAAAGCGGCAGCTCTACCCTTTAGCTCAGTGCGGATGTTACCTGTAATCCATGGCTTCAGGTTGGGGGATGTACGTACGGGCACTGTGGGGACGACGTCATTGATGCACTTATTGATGAAGCCAGTGACTGATGTGGTGTACTCCTCAATGCCTTCGGAAGAATCTGTGCTAGCAAAAATGTCCTGTAGTTTAGCATCTGCGTCATCAGACCACTTCCTTATTAACCGAGTCACTGGTGCTTCCTGCTTTAGTTTTTGCTTATAAGCAGGAATCAGGAGGATATAATTATGGTCAAATTTGCCAAATGGAGGGCGAGGGAGAGCTTTCTACGCATCTCTGTGTGTGGAGTAAAGGTGGTCTATAGTTTTTTTTTTTCCTCTGGTTGCACATTTAACATGCTGGTAGAAATTAGGTAGAATGGTTTTAAGTTTCCCTGCATTCAAGTCCCCGGCCACTAGGTGCACTGCCTCTGGATGAGCGTTTTCCTGTTTGCTTATGGCCTTATACAGCTCATTGTGATGAGGTGGTGTTGAAGGAGTCAGGCGCAGGAGGGTAAATCACAGAATAACAGTCTTTAATCCGCAAAATACAGGTTTACGCAGAAATGCGTCAAACACACTCCAGGGCACAAAACAGGCACACTGGAAAATACAAGGCACACAGGAAATACTCCCGTCGATACACAATACACGAGCTCCACCGAGCTTCACTAACCTCCACAATAAACAATCACCCACACAGACAAGGAAGCAGAGGGAACACTTATACCATGACTAATGAGGGAATAAGGACCAGGTGTGTGTGATTGAAGACAAGACAAATTGAGTGATGATAAATGGATCGGCAGTAGCTAGTAAGCCGGTGACGCCGAACACCGAAACCTGCCCGAACAAGGAGGGGAGGCAGCCTCGGCGGAAGTCGTGACACTCATTGTGTGCAGTCTTAGTGCCAGCATCGGTTTGTGGTGGTAAATAGACAGCTACGAAAAATATAGATGAAAACTCTCTTGGTAAATAGTGTGGTCTACAGCTTATCATGAGATACTCTACCTCAGGCGAGCAAAACCTTGAGACTTCCTTAATATTAGATTTTGTGCACCAGCTGTTATTTACAAATATACACAGCCCGCCACCCCTTGTTTTACCGGAGTCAGCCGTTCTATCCTGCCGATGTAATGTATATCCTGCCATCTGTATGTTATCCATGTCGTCGTTCAGCCACGACTCGGTGAAGCATAAGATATTTCAGTTTTTAATGTTCCATTGGTAGGATATCCGTGATTGTAGGTCGTCTATTTTGTTTTCCAATGATTGTACGTTGGCTAATAGGACTGACTGATGGTAGAGGCAGATTACTTGCTCGCCGTCGGATCCTTACAAGGCACCCCGACCTACGTCCACAATATCTCTTTCTAATGTGAATTACGGGGATTTGGGCCTTGTTGGGTGTCTGTAGAATATCCTTCGCGTCCAACTCGTTGAAGAAAAAATCTATGTCCAATACGAAGTGAGTAATCGCTGTCCTTATATCCAGAAGTTCTTTTTGGTCATAAGAGACGGTGGCAGAAACATTATGTACAGAATAAATTACAAATAATGCAAAAAAAACACACATAATAGCACAATTGGTTAGGGGGCCATAAAACGGCAGCCATCTCCTCCGGCGCCATTATTTATGTAGAAACCACATTTGTTTAAGCAAGTCAGCCATATCAGTTAAGTTTTTATTAAAGGCAGTAAATGAGGCTGAATGAACTGTTTCGCTGCCAGACAAGGCTCCGCTGATAGCCAGGTGTAGCAGTGGTAAGGTGTTGGGACTGCTGTTGGGACTCTGCTGTTGGGACAGCTTTATGTAGGCCCTGAAAGTTTGTGGTCACCGTTATAGTGCAATTAATGTATTGTTTAGTGTTGTGTTGTGTAGTGGCTTTGCTGGCATGCATAAAACAAAAAAATATGGGAGTTTGCCCCACCAAGTTTTACATGCCACTGGACAAAACTGACAATGACAGAATATGCAAATTTGTAAGAAAACACCTATATACTGTACATTAAATAAACTGTTGGAGCTGAAGGATGAATGTATGTCCTTGTCACCCACGTGCAGCAGCGAGCGCAGCACCGGGGTTGTGGCTGGCCGAGACCTTGGCGATGACAGCAGGTACCGAGTTTATGTAGGGCGTCAGCAGGTGGGCGTATCCTGCAGTGGGTACCAGCGCCACCGCCGAGTATGGAGACCAGGACACCATGAAGAGCAGGATGACCACAAGCGCTACCTTGGCCATGCGCCTTGTGCTTCTCACCGCAGTCCAGCTGCCGCACATCACGACCCGCTCGGTGGATGGCGCAGAAGATGGCGCAGGTAGCAGCCGCCTATCACCCCCAGCGGGATGAAGAAGACGAAAGTGAAGAGGGGGATGGTGTAGGTCGAGCACTGATTGGGTGAAGGTGGTGTAGTCCTGACAACATCTGCAGGCCCTCAGGCACGTAGGCTCTCCTGACGAAGAATGGCGGCAGGCTCCAGCCCAGGCTACAGAGCCAACAGACTGTCAACAAGATCACAGCCCGCAGCCGCCTCATGCCGCCCAGCGAGCCAGCGGCCTGATGGCCAGGCAGCTGTCAACAGCGATGGCTGTCAGCATCATCATAGAGCAGAAGCCAAAGAGGGTGCCGCAGAAGGCGTAGAGCTCGCAGGCGCACTCGCTGAACACCCAGCGGCGGTGCAGCGAGGCAGCAGAAAAGATGGGCGACTGGGTCAGCGACATGAAGTCGGCTATGGCCAGGTTGACCACGAACAGGTTACCCGGTGTGCGGAGGATGCGACTGCAGCAGAAGATGTAAATGACCAGAGCGTTACCCAGCACGCCCGTGATGCTCACTATGAGGATGACCGAGACGATGATGTAGTGCGTGTGGTGAGGGAACACATGGTGGGGAAGGGGTGCAGTGGCACTGGGTAGAAGGGCAGGTGGGTCGGCCCATGGCCAAGCCTGGAGGCTGAGAGGTGCTCCTTAAAAACCCTGGTGCCGTTGAGCTCCCTCAGTGGGCAAAATACCCCTTTCCTGGTCAAATGATGATTTGCCATCTCCAGATTCTTTCAGAGAACTATCCCCCCCAAAGTTTTTTGCCTTTATCTGAAAAGGTAGACAAAGTAGAAAACGCAAAACAGAGATGAGGATGTCCTTCGTGAACAATCAGCTTAGAGCGGTTCTGACCAATTTATATCAATGACTTCACCTCAACCTACTCTAAAAGGGGAGAAAATCAAGGTAAAATCTGACAGCTTCTCAGTCAGAGAGCAAGCTCTGCAATTCCTCTTCCCTCTGCCGACTACATACGGTCCCCGAACCCACATCAGATCTATACTGTATATACTGATCAATGCATAAATAGGCTGTTATTGACCAGACTCCTGACCGCTCTATTTTCATACTCTGGTTGTCTCTGTTGTGTTGGGTTGGTGCCGGCGACTCATCAATGAAAGAGAAAAAAACTAATTGACATACTAAAGGGATAGTTCACCTACATTACAAAATTACACATTACATAACAAAAACCATTGCATGGGTAAGGAAACAAATAAGTAATTTATAATTTGGGTGAACTATCCCTTTAAGCGATGAACAACCAACTCTATTAAATAAAAATGCACTATAACCCCATTCACACACAGCTTTGATCCATAATGTACAGTCTTTCCTTCTGGTGATTAGTCAATAGGCTTTTCCATGTCATTCATAAGGGAATGGTTCAGATGCTGCACAGGGGGAGATGAAAATAATTTGCTTGCAAAAATATCACACCCACCAAAAAATGTTGACCTCCCCTGTTATTGTAATGGTGAGAGGTTAGCATGTCTTGGGGGTATGATATTTGTGCGTCTATAACTTTCTCACTTATCATTATTCACGATTCATTCAGGATTATCCGTAATCCTGGTAGCATCTGCATTAACGTAGAACTGTTTAGAAACATATTATATTCTTAATAAACAAGAAAAGTTACTCCAAAATGACATAATACATTAATTACCATTCATCTATTGGGCACAAAATAATCTGAAACACAACCAAAACAAACAGCAAATGCATCCAACAAATTTGTAGAGTCACAAGCTTGATGTCGTTATTGCGTGCTATGAATATGGGACCAAATATTTTACTTTTTACTACTTTAATACACAAATAAGTGAATTTGTCCCAATACTTTTGGTGCCCTGAAATGGGGGGACTATGTACAAAGAGTGCTGTAACTTCTAAACAGTTCACCCGATATGGATGAAAATACCCTCAAATTAACCTCATAGTCATTGTTTGATTTCAAATCCAAACATTTAGAGTATAGAGCCAAAAGAAGCTAAAATGATTCACTGTCCCAATAATTACGGAGGTCACTGTAACTAGAGCATGCTAGGTGATGAGTCCAAGACTTGACCCCTTGACCACTTCTTTCCTCGCAATGAACATAAATTACAAGCCATTACATTATACTCTTTATTTTCAGTGGATTATACAACATTTGCGTTTATGTTAAAAAACAAGAACAGATCAGGTAAAAAAATTAATAGAAGTTCCTTGTTTACCAGTTCTATCATTGTTGATAGAGACATTTGGCAACTCTTTTTATAACAACTTTAAAACCAAATACTGCACTGTTACTCTAATAAAGGGATTTGATGGTGTTACTTCAGCAAAGTATATGAATTGAGTGCAAAATGATAATGAAACCAATGGATGGCAAGATCAAGATACACAGGCTGTATCTCAATAGTCTAAAATGGCTTCCTCTCCTTGTCTCCCTTTACAGATGTAAAATAACTGGATTGGACTAGCTCTAGTATAGGCATCCATCCACTATATTCCTTTCAGCTTTGCAGTTTGTTACATATCAATGCAGATCACAGGAGGTTGGTGGCACCTTAATTGGAATGGATGGGCTCATAGTAATGGCTGGAGCGGAATCAGTGGAATGGTATCAAATACATCAAGCACATGGTCTCCATGTGTTGGATGCCATTCCATTTACTCCGTTCCAGCTATTATTATGAGCCATCCTCCCCTCAGCAGCCTCCACTGATGCAGATGAAGGAGAGGAGACGAGGAGAGGAAGCCATGTAAGATTATTGAGATGCACCCAAAGAACTACAAGAAACAGGTAGGTCATATCTGGTATGTGCTTAATGCTTATTGGCCAGTTGATGGCAGTGTTGTTCACCATACGTTCTGGAGTTGGGCACCAATTCCACATGTGGACCCGGTTCAGACTTGGGATACATGCACTTTACACATTCTTATTCTCTCTTATGTAATCTTTTCTCCCCACATATTCTGACATCAGGTTTAATCATACACCAATGTGGGCACCAGCAAGCTTTGCGATAGGGGTAGAGATCCATAGAAATGTGGCAGGGTCTAGTGGTAGTGCTGCCACCCCCAGACCACCCATTGCCCCACATAGTTTGATCCCCGGCCCCACCACTCACTTTCTGTTCTATATCCCTCTCCCCATCTCATCCATTTCCAACTGGTATTTATCAATACAACTTTAATATACCACATTTCCAAGATGTGAAACCCTAGAATAAGTTGAGCGAACCTATTCCCTGCACGTGGGAAAACACATCTGGTGATTTTACCTCAATAGGAATGACAACAGTTCTCACTGCAAAGCAACATATAACTTCTGGAACACCAGTGCAATAACAAAAAATGGGGAAAATTAAAAAAGAGGAAAAACTAAGCGTAGTATTCTAAACTTGTATATTATTATTTCTAAAATATTGTAGACTGAATATTCACACTTCAAATGAAGAGATGTTCCCTTTCAAAAATGTGTTTATTAGAGTAACAATGCAGAATTGGTTAATCAGTTTGGAGAACGAGAATGTGAAGACCCTAATCTCAAATGGTCTCATAGAGCATAGTGATGGTATTTTTACTCCCTTACTAACATGAAACCATTTGAATCTAGCAGCAGCAGTCTGTAACCTACAACATTTGGACCGGATCAGTGAAATTATAGGTGGACATAAGTGAGAGCCATACAGACTCAAACAATATGGCAGCCACTGCCATTCATTCCGGAATATCAGTCTCGTAGTTGGTAGTAGGTCAGGTTAGGGAAAGACGTTTCTTGGTCTTCGGCACTACAGTACCTTCCGTTGATGCTGTCTCAACGAGGTCCAGGGTCTCCTTAAACCCAGATTGGGTGTCATACATGAAAAAATATTGAAAAGATTAAATACTCTGAAGACAAGGCATTGGAAAATGTAGTGTAAGAAAGTTGCATGCATGTTGATGTTTGGTGACTTGTTCTGTGTGAGACAAAGAAACAGAAAATAGGGAAGAAAAAGGGAAGAACAGACTGAAAATATATCATTTTAACAAGAGTTGTTTCCAAACTTTATTTTAGGTGAACTATCCCTTTAAAAAGAGTAGACTGGATGTATCCTACATTTCTCAACCACAGCCAAGACTACAAGTGATATCATAGCACAAGGTAGCATACAGTGTGATTTAAACACAGTATAAAATAAGAAAACTAGTGAGTGAATGATAAAAGAAAGGGAGCGATGGTTGACGACTCACCCAAATCCTGCAGACTGTGCATGTGGACACTGACCGGTCTCTATCCTGTGGTGCACTGTAGTCATAGAAGATGGTCTCTGTGTTTGCCAAACAAAATCCATTGCTCCTCATGATATCTGTAAAGCAAAAAGAAAGGCAAAATAAGTTTGGCTAGTCAGACAACTGATAATATTCTGGTAATGTTCTGTGTCATGTTCAGTAAGGTACACCGCAGCGAAGTGCTTTGCAACAGAAAACTAAAAATCTGTGTTATAGCATTTCCAATGGCACCTCCTTTGTTTCGAAAGGCTATCTTCTGTTCCGTGCCTACTGAACAAGACCCAGGTGCTTGAAGGATGAAAATAATTCTGAAAATTAAAAAACTCTGACAATGGAAATCCTGTTATGTTTGCACACTTTACTTTTAGTGGTCAGAACCAATGTTGCAGTCTATCAGTAGTGAAGTCTGAAGTGCAATACACTTTTTTTTATTTTACCTTTATTTAACTAGGCAAGTCAGTTAAGAACAAATTCTTATTTACAATGACGGCCTACACCGGCCAATCCCGGACGACGCTGGGCCAATTGTGCGCCGCCCTATGGTCATTAGGAGGCACAACAACAAGTCCAGCATCTGTCACCATAGAGTAGACATGACATCTGTCTATGGTACTGTAGGTTGACCATAGGAGAACAGGACAGTCCTTGGATAGCAGTTCATGCGTTTGACCTATGTTTTTGTGCACAAATCCAAATGTATGTCAATTAAACTACTTGTTGCTTCAATTAGGGCAACAAAGACGTCCTGAATCATTTGCTTGCCTTCCTGACATTGGAGTGTGTCTGTTAAGATTGCCTGTAAAATTAGCAAACCAATAAATCAGACACTTGTTTTCAATGAAACATAGGACTAAATTGCTCGATTGATTTAGACCTGAAATTGTTACTGGACTCTGGTAGTATGGCTCCATGTTGTTGATGTCGTTTTTCTAGTCATCACGTCCAGCCGAGATTGCTCAAAAAACATGAGCACTGCTTCTGACCATGAATATTGTAGAAGAAAAGGTCAAAGTTAAGAGAAGAAAACAATCACTTTGGGTGGGTGGATCTCACAATTATTCTCCCAGATTCCTTAAGACCCCTTTCCTCTCCTCCTTCTCAAAACATTAGAGGGAAGTGAAAAAAATATTCTCCTCCATGGCTCTCCTCGCTTCTGTCTGACATTTTGAGAAGAAGGTGAGGTGAGAGGATGCGAGGAATCAAGGAAAATACTTTTGAGATTCACCCCTTACAAGTACATTTGATGACCTTTCACTGGACACACAAATAAATGGCATCATAACCAATACTCATCCTCCTTAGAACGGAATAACTGCTGAGAAGAAACCCCATAACTGAACAAAATGGTTGCCCAATCAGGCAACCTAGATGCACTTTATTCGAAATGAATATGCATTCTAAACGGCCAGACTTTTATTCACTGCAGTTTACAGCCTAGACAAGAGTTTTGTACTCACTT